AGACACCCACCAATGTATGCAAGATGTACTGTCGCATCTCGCGTCGCAAGGTAAATCAGTATCTTAATTTTCCAAATGTGCGTGTGCGTCTCACCGCGCCATGCACCAAGATTAATTCTGATTGGATCATTTCCAAAAACGTCCCTCACTCACATTTTCGTCTCGTTTTTATTAGTTAACGAAAATGTCAATATATTTTTATTATAGTTTTCGTCATCATCACTTAATTTTTATTTAGTTATCGTCTCGTTTTCGTCAGTGAAAATTTGTCGTTGACGAAAATAACGAAAATATTTCGTCAACAAAATTATCACTGTTATGACAAGACCACTCAGGAGAAAAAGTATACACCTCCTGAAGTGTACCATGCACCCTCCAAAGCATTACCGGTATGTTTCTACATCTGAAACGGAAAATTAGTTTGCATATATGAAGTGTCATTTTTGTTTTTTAAAATAAATAAATAAATGGTGTATAAATCACCAGAGCAGTGTATTGCCATTAATACATACCCCTAACCATGTGACTACCAAACATTAAACTTTCAGCCACAGCAAGGCATACTGACAGCAATATGAAGAGGATGCCAATAACCTTTGAGCAATACTTACTTATTACCATATTTTTAATGCAAAAATAAAATTTAATATGATCCCTTGCAGTCTCATGCTCAGAAAAGAAAAGTTTTCAGGGCCAAAAAAAATAAATCAACGATATTCTATATCCCATCCAGGGTGTACCCCTGCCCAGTGCGCTCTGCTGCCTAGGGGCCAGGCATTTCCCGCAACCATGTTCAGGGTAAGCAAAAGATGGACGGGTGGTTGGAGGTACACTATATGGACAAAAGTATTGGGACACCTGGCCATTACATCTACAGGGACATTTATAACATCCCATTATAAATCCATAGGCATCAATATGGAGTTGGTCCCCACCCCTCTTTGCAGCTATAACAGCTGCCACTCTTCTGGGAAGGCTTTTCACAAGATTTTGGAGTTTGTCTGTGGGAAGTTTGGTCATTTTGGTACTGGAACTGTTGGTACTGGTAATCAACTAGAAGTCAATGGAAAAGGGAATGTACGATACCAAAATACAGTCCTGGTGCAGTGGACAAGTGCCCTATGGGACCTAGACTAACCCCTGAAAAACAAACCCATACCATAATCCCTCCTGCACCAAAATCTTCAGTTGACACAATGCAATCAGGCAGGGGATGCCTGGTATCCACTTGCCCACCAGACTGCTAGACAGAGAAGCACGATTCATCACTCCACAGAACACATTCCCACTGCTCCAGAGTCCAGTGGTGGTGTGCTTTACACAACTCTATCTGATGCTTGTTACTGTGCTTGGTGACGTGAGGCCTGCATGCAGCTGCTCGGCCACGGAAGCTCATTCCATGAAGTTACTGGTGCACAGTTTTTGTGCTGGAGTTAATGCCAGAGGAAGTTAGCAACTCTGTAGTTACTGAGTTAACTAGGCAACTTTTACACACTATGCGCCTCAACACTTGGCGACCCCGCTCTGTTACTTTATGTGGTCTGCCACTCTGTGGCTGAGTGTCTGTTGTTCCTAAACGCTTCCACTTTGCAATAATTTGACTTGCAGTTGACTGTGGAATACCTAGCAGGGAAGAAACTGAACTGACTTATTGCAAAGTGGCATCCTATGACAGTATCACATTTGAATTCACTGAAGACACATTCTTTCACAAATATTTGTAAACCTGAATGCATGGCTAGGTGCTTGATTTTATACACCTGTGGCAATGGGTCTGAATGAAACACTCGAAATCAATGATTAAGAGACGCGTCCTAATACTTTTGTCCACATAGTGTATATTCTACATGAAATACAGTCAGGGGTGAATGACATGCAAGTGGTAAAGAAGATGTGGTTCCACAAACCCAATGTTCTTTGTGAGCTTCCCCACCAGGTCAGGTTTCTCCTTCTTTACGAAGTCGACTACGGCGTTGTATGCGTCACACAGCTTCGCCCCTGCAGCCGGACAAAAAAAAAAAATGCTTTTCCTTTAACCACCTCGACACACATCACAGGAGCCAGGCAACACACACATACACGCCCACCATTCTTGAGCTCTTTCAGCAGTGTCTCCTCCACCTGCAGGAGGAAGCTGTAGTTGTCCTGCATCTCCTGAGGTGGGTCCACCATCAGTGTGCGCACTAGATTGGAGCAGTATGACTTGTACCTGATCCCCATGGCACAGGTGATTGCCCCAAAGTGCATATGATTCTTGTCACTGGTTAAATGAAATTTTTAAAAATGTGGTTAAACACTGCATGACAGAAAATCACCAGAAGAGCTTCATATAATGAGCATTGAAGGAAGGAACAATAGAGCATTATCACTACTGCAATGATTCAACGTATAACCTTACCTGACTATGCTAAACTTCAGGCTGTAGTTACCACCGCTCTGGATGATCGGTGGATAGCACATTTCCACAGCAGAGGGATCTGCCCCGGCAAGGTATTTCTTCTCCTCGATGGCCTTCTCCACAGACTCTGCCAGCTTACTGTGACGCATTTTCTGTGGGGCAAATCAGCCAGAGCCTTTAGTGGGGTGAGTAGTGAAGCCCGAGTACAGGGCTCAGGGGAGAACAGCGAGTCTGGGAACAGCATCCAACACGATCCTTCACACGTACCTCATCTGCGTCCACTATCTCCATCACCCGCTCCTTGAAGAATTTGTTGAAGACCTCACTGGTAATTCCTGCAGCTTTCCTCATGAGGGCTAACTCTCCATCCTCCTTCACAGCCATGGTGTAAGCCACCGCTGCACTGAGATCCACCTAAAGGTATTAAATCAATTTATATACCACTTATGTACTGGTTTAGCAGAGTTAGCAATTGAAGCCCAATAGCCACACAATACAAGACTTTTCAGCCTACCTCACCTCAATTTGTATATTACAATGATTATCTGGACAATAACACCAGCATTTACAGTATAAAAATCCATACTGAAAATAACAGGGAAACAAACAGGGCAATGTCATCCCAAGATCTGAATTCATCACCAACTATTCCAAAGGCATCTTCTGTCTCAATGGAAGACTCATACACCATTCATATACGCAACAAAAAAACAAGATCCTAGAGAAGTCTCATGCTAAACTGCAAACCTTCTCCAGGCCTTCAGCAGTGATCATATCATTCCAACTCTTCATATACTCCCCCGGGAACTTGTCCTTGCTGAAGACTCCAACAGTCTTTCCCTCCTTGCTAGATCGTATGGCCTCCAACATCTTTTCAAAGTTGGCCTTGTTGCTCTCATTCTATAAACAGAAGTACATTGGCTTTATGCTGCGGTGGACCACAGAAAAACACCATGAAATCTGCATAAGGTATGCCCATACCTTCTCCCGAACAAGCAGCGTGACAGGGGGCACACCGTTGGCATTCTCATTGCCCTTGGTAATGGCCACCTGTTTCAGGAACTCCACCTTCTTCTTGCTGGCTAGGAAGAGGATGCTCGACTCACAAAAAACCATGATGGTGTCAGTCAGCTCATAGCCAAAGAGCCACGTCTAAGTGAGGAAGAAAGAACAAAAACATGTATACAGTAAAAACGAAAACTTTGGACAAAACTTCAAGCAACACACTGCCACACATACAGGCAAATCTAGGCTTTTCTCCCAGGGGTGCAAGGTGAGGGAACCCAACTAGTGATACATTACAGTCTACATCAAACTACACATGTAATGTCGCTAAATAAATACATAAATATTTACAAATTATTATTACACATTGCTATGACTAACACAAGCCAGTTTAAAATGCAACTTTGCAAATTTATTTTATTTTACTATGTTCAAACAATATTTTCAACTGACCAGTAGGAGGTGCAATTGTGCCCCCGATAATAATCGCTTATTGCCACACATAAGAACTAAAATGCTCTGATCGATTTCAAAGGCAAAAAAATGCTTTGAAGACAATTAGCCGTTTGCTTTAAAGAATCTAATAATTTAATGTTCACATGATTGTTCCTTATTATACCTTCCACTCCAAAGAGCTTGGATGTATTAAAAAGGGCCAGCGGCATGCTAGTCAGTACACACCGTACACGGCCATTTATTAACCATTTCACCATAACAAAGATGTCACAAACCTGCAGGGCAGTGGACTTCGCATATACAGTCTCCTCATCCACTCCCACAGACACCACGATGGCATCCACCCTGCCAAAGTTATCCTCCCCTTTCTAAAAGGCAAACAGAAAGTTATTCGATGGTAGCAACTCATGATTACAGCAAGAGCACATCGGTAGAAAATTACAGAAAGACAAAACAACGCAGATCACACTATACACACTCTATACATTAAGTAATCAAAACAGATCGAGAAAATATTTTCAATGGGCAAGACCCCATCCCTTCAGGTTCTACCTGAGAATCACATTGAAACGTAATGCCAATTTGCCTTCATAGACACACACACACACACACATTTATATTATACACGCCAAACAAAATGAATTAAATAATAGAAAAAATGTGACACCAGTGGCCAATACTGATATGCATTTTAAATACAGCTGTTGCCACGACACTAGCATAATATATGACAGAATCGGCCAAGGAAATGGACGACTAGCTTGCTGATTTCGTAGTTTTGACCAGTATGTGCGTTTTTAGTTAGTATGTAGCTAACAAATAGAGGCACATCACACTGTAATATTAGCTAAATACAGCTACATAGCCAGATATTTCCCAGTGAAATTTTTTGCAATGTCTTTCACTCCACACAATAACAAAAAACAAAGCTCTTTTGATTATTCGAAGTCGAATAACGACTTTTAATTGCCTCATTAACAAAAGATACAGTAAATATAGTCAACGTATTAGATTGCCAGCCAGCTGCATACCAAGAACAGGCAGAGTTCGCACTGGCAAGGCTCGTTTGGACTACATTACATGTTTTTGTATGTTTTGAAACAAAGGCCCGCCACTTCAGACCCATTTTAAAATTGCTATCATTTATTTTGAAGCTAACAAGGACGGCTAGCTAAGTGCTAGCGGACGGCAGCCCCGCGAAGGCCTTCCCCCAAAGCCACGGTGACAACAACAGCAGCCCGAGACTCACATTTACCTCACTTCATTACTGTTACTGTCCCTCCTTAGCCATTCGCGGCCGTTAATTTTACCTTCCAGTTGGCGTATAACCGCTTGATCCGGCGGTAATAAGCCTCCTTGTCCAAGTTTACCGCCATAGCGACTTTTACGTCCCTCCAGTGCCGGGCTTCAAGAAAAGCCAGCTATCGCACCTTTAAGTCTTTGCGACAAACCACAGATGTGTGTATGATTCTTTTAGGAGAAAGTATATTTATTTTAATATTTACGTGTGTATTGGATAGTTAATGCGATTCGAATTAATCCAGTATGATAATGCGTCTTATCAGTAAAATATGCTGAAAGGATGGTTATAAGTATGTTCATTTGTTGTATGTAAATATCATAAATGCTCTGTGAGGTAACGTAGCCCCCTGTGTGACACTGTATTCCTCCCGCCCACTTTCTATCCACCCCTTGGTACCGACGCCGCCCGCAGCTTTCGGCGACCAGCGGCCCGGTCCCGATGACGGCGCTTCGGACTCCGCTGTAACGCGCTACACGGGGTTTACGCCGCATAAGCCCCAGTCTGTGCCGAGGGATGCTGCTCGGTGCCTGCGGTCTTTTTCTCTAGTCATCATCTTATTTTTTATCTAGTTGTTTTTTTTCCTCCTCTGTAAAACCATTTGGATGATCAGATACCGGAAGTTGAGTTGCATGAAAACCCCAACGCTCTTTTACACCATTGCGCCTTTCTCCAGGGTAGCCCCTGCGCGTTCGGTCAGGGGATCAAGCCAATGCATTTTTCGGATTTTCAATAGATTTTCCACTATAAATTTGAATATTGCATAGTAAATCATTCAAAATAAAGTATTCTTAGTACCTTATCTTTCACCATTATTATTATCCTTATAAGCACTGGTAGTATTGCCAATCGTGTCAGTTACACATATATATATATATATATATATATATATACACACACACACACATATACATACACACACATTCAGACACACACATATATAGGCCTAGCATTGTGGTGTTTTATATGTGTTCACTGCTGGATGCTTAAATTTCCTTGGGGATCAATAAAGTATCTATCTAAAATTATAATATATTAATGACATCGAATATGGCGTTCAGTTTGAACCCTCCTACCCCATTTGGTGATAAAAAAAGTCCTTAAATCAACGCTGGAAAATGTAAGAATGGGCATGTACGTGTGAAATGTATATGGGTGTTTAGTTGTTCTGCTTTGTTTAGGGTGCGCTGATGTATTCATAATATATTTTTAAGAATCACATCACTATGGGTTTAATAACCACAACATCAAATGCAGATGCGGGCGTATCTTTACTCGTCAGTTGTATTTTTATTTCATTCACTAAAACAGCAACGATGTTGAACATACCTAATTATTTTACACGGCTGCATTAATACCGTAGTTTCAAATCCAAATTCCATTTAAAAAGCCAGAACCTACAGTGCGACGAACTTCAGCAGACAGCAAGAAAATCCATTCTATCCGTTCCTTTTATTAATCTCAAGATTTTCTCAGTACAGCCATTAAGCACAGAAACAGCTGACTCGCCTGTTAGGTTGTGTTATGTGTTGAGAATTCAGCGTTAAAGACACTGAATAGAAATATTTCCAAAAAAATATATGCTTTTTAACATCCTTTAGAAACGCGCGAGTTCTACTAAAAATCAACACGATTACTGAATGACCATAATTTGCGTCTTCTAAATAATAATACATTTAATGCTCAACTGAAGTAAAACGTAAAACCATAACATTTTATTTAGACCGCTTTTTCTTGATAAACGTTTGGTCTCAAAACAATAATCCCTGAAACGCAAAAAAAACTGCGCGATAACTTGGGTTGTGTAACACATATATTGTTTTTCCACTGAAAACTGAAAATCCAGTTTTATCATGGCCTTATTCGACATACAAAGAAAGGCAACGGTGATTGTAGGAAATTCTACAGCAGGATCATCCACCTCCATATTAAAAATAACTTAAGAGTTTAAAACCCACCTCGCAGACATCATTCATACACATCAGTGCTATTTCTCCATCTTGATCTGAAGGCTAGACGAACATTGCCAGCCGGTTACCTCAGTAATGGGAAAACTGCACTTTGAAGCCTAAACTGAGTGCGATTATCATGCCTTTTCAGTCACCAATGTGCCTAACCCTGTCTGTATTACTTATTTACAAGATTATACCAGTCAGTGACAATGCACAACAAAGACAGTCCTTCTCCCACAACGGGCAACGGGATGTAATTCTGGTGACATCCGGACAATGGATAAACGCCAAATTCCAGTATATGCCTCTAGAAGGTGCTATATATTCACAAACACGCATGCCAAGCTCTAAAACGGTTTGCTTTTAGACGCCTTTATAGCTAATTTCATGCGCACTCACGCACACACCACTGTCATATATAAAACTTTACCCACGATAACCAAGATGGTCCTTCCATGTTCACTGTCCCCTAGTGCTGAATCGACTGATCCAGGCTGTTAAAAATGCATTAATTTATGTGTGTGTAAAAAGAATAAATTATTCTTTGCAGGACATATTAACCCCAGTGTATAAAAGACGTTTCACTGTGTTGCCACAGCCAGTGTGACCAACGCCCACCCACGGGACCAAATGTCAGCGGGCTCAGGGAAAGCAAGGGAAGGGGGATGTGCACTGAGACTGCAAGGCCTACGCCTCCCACCCTCGGTCTCCTCATGTGACAGTGGTGGAGTTCTGGCTTCGAATTGAGCACCAGGCCATGAAAACGTCCCTGGAAGACAGACAGTGGACATTCAGGCAAAGCACATGATATCACCTCAGTCAAACTTACCTGTTATAATACAATGTTAATAAGTATCTGGAAGTCAATAAGTTGTCTACCAGTGACATTTACTCTCCATCTATGGCTATGTAATCCATTATATACACTAAAATAAGAGAGCATGTATTTAACCCTAGTAGTGTCACGTCTATATTGAGTATATCGGAGGCAGTGTTTATGTAGCAGAGACCTGCAATGGGTAGCCACACACTCGTTGCTGCAGTACTCTCTATCCCAGTCTTTGCTCTCCACGGGGGGGTTGGTGCATCCCGCTCGGACACAGCGGTGTGGGGTGCCCGAGGGCTGAGTGGGGGGGACTTCTTCTGGCGCAGGTGACACGGTCAGCTCCACCTCCATCTGGATTAAGTGAAAAAGAGACCTACTTAGCACGCCTCTCTCATCAAAGTGTGTTAGTGACTGAGAAGAGGAGCACAGAATACAAAAACAGATTCAAGAAAACACCCATAACCCTACCTCATTAGAGGTGAACTCATCTGCGTCAGCTATGGTGCCCTCTGCTGGTGGGGAGCAGGCACTGACAATGGCGGCAGGCGGAGCTACCTCCATGGCCACCGCCGGGCTGGAGGAGACAGGCCCTGGCACTGAGCAGGGTGCCGCCGCTGCTGTCACCATAATGGGCGTGGCTAACTCAGACTGCAAGGGGGCAGGGACAATCTTGATCTGCAGCGGGGGTGGAGGTGCTGCGGTGACTGATACCACCAGCCCTGTGCCACCACCGCGGGGTTTGGCTTGGAGAGGGGGTGGGGCAGGGGAATGGACCATCTGCTGTAAACGGGGAGGTGGGGGGGCATTCTGCATTTGCTGCAGGGGTGGAGGCTGGCGGGGAGCAGGGGGGGTGGAAGACGAGGTAGGGGAGGGCTTAAGCATTCGGGTGGCTGGAACTGTAGCAGTTGCGGCTACCAGGCCGCCCTCCCCAGGCATAGCCTGCTTGGAGATGACGATCTTTGTGATGGTGGGGGGTGCAGGTGCCGAGGTGGCCGGAGCTTTGTGGGCACTGGTGCGTGAGCGAGTGGTGACCTGCGGCAGGTCCAGGATGATGTTGGAGGTGCAGATGTTGGTGATAGTGTTCTGCTCTGGAGCATGGTGGGGGATTCGGGTGGAGCGAGTGGGTGCGGGTGCAGGTGCGGGAGCAGGGGTGGGGGTAGGGGCTGGTGGAGGCGGGGATGGGGGTGTTATGGGATCTATTACTTCAATCGCAGCCTGGACAGAGAAAGGAGGAATAAAAATCAGCATGCAAACCTCTGGGTCCCCTCACAGTACCGCGCAGCCAACTTGGGGACGTGTTACAGTGCTTTGTGTAAATATACACCCCCCCAGGGTTTTCCATATTTTGTAGGGTTAAACCTAGAATTAAAATGGATTTAATCAAGATTTTATGTCACAAATACACACTAAACAATGTGATAAACCCCTAAACAAGGTCTGGTTCCACCATAACCCTTCAGAAGTCACATAATTTGCTGGACGGAGTCAACCTCTGTCACATGAACTGAACATAAATACACCTGCCCCCCCTGTTTTATAAACTTTTACGTCACAAAAGTATTTTGTGGAAATCAAATAGTAGAAATCTAGATTAATTCCAATGTGTAAGAGGTATAAGAGTCCAAAGGGGTTTATAGGAGTAAGAATGTCAATAAAAACCCAGTCTGACACTGAAGGGAAATGCAAGTTACTTCCTGAGCTCAAAAACAAGTGTCAGTTATACTAAAGCTTTGTCTTATCAGAACATCCACACTCGCTGCCCCACCAGCTGACCACAACAGGACCCTTAGCCTTTTATCTTTGCATAGCCCCTGGTTATCAGGACCTGCGTCGTCTGATACTCAGTCACCCAACACATTATGTATCCATGTTCCCAAGTTTTTTAATGTTGAAATCATGAGGATACATGGCATAGAGCAGGGGTACCCAATCTTATCCGCAAAGGGCCGGTGTGTATGCAGGTTTTTGGGATAACCTGTAGGTCAGCTATTCAAACCCAGGTGTGAGGACTCTTTCAGCCAATCAGTCCTCTAATTAGTAATCTAATTAGGGAGTTGCAGCAAAAACCCGCATACACACCGGCCCTTTGCGGATAAGATTGGGTACCCCTGGCATAGAGAAATTAATATAATGCTCTGGGAGCAGAGAGTGTGTGTGTCTGTGCAGACATGAGCATCAGAGAACATATAGGCTTGGAAGTATGGCACTATATGGGTGTGTAGGTTTGTACAAAGGCACGCTTGGCCTGAATATGAGGTCATTGTGTCTATTTTGCAGTATAAATCGCAAACATTTTTGTACGCCGCGTGTGTAAATGTGATCTTCTTAGGAAAGACTACTGCATTAGGCTTTTATTATGCACCACTGGTTTTCTGCCTCTTCTGTCCACTTCACAGCGGCCGAACTCTGACATCTTGAATGGGCTGCCGCACTCTTACCTCGGAGACTTGGCTGGCTCTGTAGGCCGCAAGTGCTTTCAGATACTCCTTCTTTGCCGCTTCCGTCTTCCTTTTGTACACCTGCAGGGGGCAGTGTGCTAATCAGACAAACTACTTAATCACAGGGGGCTGATTAACTCTGCAGCAAGTGACATATGTATGAGCACAAAGCACATGGGGAAGACAGACTGAGCATCTGCCAGCTCAGAATCCAGACACGAGCCTTGCCCGAACCTTTCCTTCGTGCGTGCAAGCTTGAGGGCAAGATCACGCGTCTCTACCTGCTTCTGCTCCTCCCCGAGGCTGTCCCACATGGAGGCCACAATCTTGGACACCTCCCCAAAGGTGGCACTAGGGTTCTGGCCCTTGATGGCCGCCTGCGTGTCCCTGAAGAAGAGCGCGTAGGCCGACACCGGCTTCTGCGGCTCGTTGGGGTCCTTCTTCTTCTTCCCCTTCTTGCCTCCCCCCGCTCCCCCCCCGGCCACCCCTCTTCTCATGGCTGGGGGGGCACTGGAGGATGAGGAGATCGGGGAGTCAGCCAGGGAGGGTGTGAGGGATATAACAGCAGAGGAAACTGACAGGGAGACAGGCGACTCCACCAACATACTCTTCTGAGAAAGAGAAAAGGAAAAAGATGGTGACATACTGTTAGCATGCAAACAAGGAGGCGAGATACATACATGCCAAAATAGCACAAGTCAGGTGTAGAACATTTTTTGCAGGACTTAAATCTCATCTGACGCAAACAGCCATATCCTTAGAAATATCTGTACTACAGGACCTATAGGTCACATTCATGCATACAAATCAAAGTTAGGGACCCGATTCCTTCACTTTAGCTGATATAGTAAAATACATACATTCAGATTCTACACATCCACATTGCACATATTAGGCTTTTATTTTGCAATTATGATCAAAAAGAAATTAATCAACTTCTCCTGTGAAGCACACACCCAGCTAATCCAGACAAATGTGTATTTATGCCAGCCCTAAGGGGTGGCATGAATTGGCACTCCAGCCACCGGAAATAAAACTCACACTGGTCCATTCGGACTAGTGTGGTGCTGAGGTATCACTGCATGGCTGCACTCAGGTTCTCATCCCTGAGGTGCTTTGGTGTGTGGTGGGGGTGACAACGCGCTGTAATCAGCACATACTCCTTACCACTTCCACCTCCTAAAGGACCCAGTAATCTCTAATATTCTAACTGCTACACCTCCAAAGGACTTAATCAGGGTTTTTTGATGACTCTTTCAGCTCTTTGCAATCAGCCACCCCCTTCCCAAATGCCCAGACTCCCAACCCGCAGGCTAACACAGCTGCTGTGTACACCAGGCACTCTAAAATCAGCATGGCAAAAATCACACACTTACCCAGATTATTTCAATAATGAAGGTCTTTGTCCATGACTCCGGACTGTACAAAGACAACTTCTTGACTGCGACCAAGAATCGGTACAGAGGAAAAGACCAGAGACTGTCTAACCCTATTCTTAGTCGTCGGAGCTGAAGCCAGCTATCACATACCCAGAAGCAAAGATCACTCCACTAACAGCACAAAAGGAGCTGCTTCGTTACATCTGCAGTGTACAAGATGCACCTGACTTCCCTCCCTTCCAGGTGGGAGATTAGTACTGGTCTCACGCATGCATGCATGCATGCATGCATGCATGCATATCTGCATTTTTGTATCTCTTCAGGCGACAGCCCAGATGAGAGAACACGTCACACTGCCTGACTCCAGGCTCCAAAAGAAAGTTGATATCCATAAAGCCTGCTCCATGCTACATGGTTCTTTCACCATTGCTTTCTGCATTACAGTGTCTTCAGAGAATTCCCTCTTTCCAAAACACCTTCTGACTCACGGCATGTCATTGAAGTCCACGACTGCGCAAAAAAAGGTTTGATTGATTTAAGCTTAACAGACTCTTCTATCACAGTTAGTCTACTTCTATCTCCTAACCTGGCATCATGAATAAGACAGAAGGCTTCATTAAAGCGATTTGGCAAGTAGACAGACCAAAGGGGCAGGTCTGTCTTACCCTGCCGGCCTTGGCTGCAGACATATGCTGACTTGTGGGGTCTTTGCAGGTGACCCTGCCTACGAGACCTGACGAAACTGAGGTCCTGCTGTATGTGAAAATGGTGGCACATTTGGTAAATAGGCCCAAATGAGTCTGATGCATAATACTACATATGGAAGAACTAAATAAATATAAGATGACAAACTGAAGACAACTGAAGAAGACAAACTGGAGGGTGAAGCAGATTCACAAAATAACAGATGGGGCTCTGTAGGGACAACAATGACATGGAGTGGTGAACTATAAACACAGCTAAATAAATAAAATGCCAAGACAGATTTAGTAGGACAAGCAGCCAATCTCAGGGCGAAAAAGAGACTAACCTCAAACCTCACAGCTGCCATTCCAGCTGTTCATTTAATGCTCAAATCACAACTTGGCTATTTCCGCCGAGACAGACTGCTGGAGGGCACAGCCACATGGAAGCAATACGCACAGACCTCCGACAGACACAGATTCTGTGGAAATATCCTCACCGAATAATGACTCTGACATTGGATACTAGATAACTGCCTTGTCTAGGAATGGTCTTTGTAATGTAATCAATGGCAAAAAAGTCCCGTCCTGAAAAAAAGGCTACGGTCTCATTATATGTTTCATGGCTGGCAAGTTTGCTAAATAAACAACAGTTCTAATAACAACATCCCCTGCATCCTCCGATACGCCGAAGACCTTAGGAGACACTGCAACCACCCTTTGAACACCCCAGCCCCACCCTCTAGAGTTTATAAAAAACAGCGCAATACAAAAAAAAAAACATCCAATCAAAGTTGAAAACACCTCGATAATGAGGGAGACCAGAGGAAAATGGCAGGAAATATTAAAGCTAGATAAAGGAAAGCTGTGCACAGCACTTGTTGAAGAGAGAGACCTACAGAATGTCACATGCAGCTGCCAATAAGAGTGCACACATTATTAGTTATGAACTTTGGTTATTACCCACTTATTACCAATATTGTGCCAGGTGTTCACCGACCCACAGGTGTCAGACTGAAATGCTGCCAAAATGTGACCTAAAAAACTTTCCCAAACTTCACCAGTGGTGCTTCCAATCCCACCATAACAGCTTACAGCTTCTGTCCACACGAACGACAATATGACACCAGGCAAATAAAAACACCATGGACACATTCAGCTGACTGTCAATGCCAGTGGATACAGTCACAAAAACAGGCAAACATGCAGACTTTACCTGAGCAAAATCACTCATGTCCTCATCTTGCAGGGAGTCAGCGGGCGAGGGCGTGGCTGAGAGAGGCTGGTCAGGTGACTGTGGACAAGGCAGGATAGTCCCACCACCAAGACTGAGCCCGAGTTGAGCGCTGAGCTCTGATTGGTCGATGGTGGTCAGCTGGTTGTGGCCCAGCAAACCATGATTCATGTCACTCAGCGGAACATCTATAGTCACTGGGGAAGAGCTGCTAAACTGAGATCCAACAGGATGGCCCAACTCCTGGAAAGAATGAAGTGTTCCACAAATAAGGAAAAATAGAAAAATCAGGGGTGGTTCAATAACTATTATAGCAATGTTAATTCCATGGTGCTACTTTTGTAAAATGTAAACATAACATCGTTTTGCCTCACTGCCCTGCCCGATCCTCACCATGCCGAGTGTCGAGCTCAGCAAAACACCCTCTCCTGGCTGGTTCATGACACCCAGGTTTAGGTGCTCCAGGCCCTGGGCGGGGGGGTTAACGAAGGCAGAGGCAAAGGAGGGATCTTCCCCACCAACCACAGCATTCCCTGGGACTCCCCCAGAGGGCCCCTGGTCAGACATCTCCCCGAAATGGGACACCACGTCAGACACAGTGAGGGCAGAGTCGGGATCCAGTGAGATGGGTGGAATCTCAAACTCCTCATCGCCCAGGCTGGGGGTGTGAAATGTCTGGTAGAAGGGCAGAGGCACAGACACTGATTAGAGCAGCATAATTATATTTTACTATATTGTCTACATATTGCAGGTACAGTGAACAGTCAATATATGGTAAGAGATAGCGTGTTGTGTGCTATGTAAACTTTCTGAAGGACAGTGTCTTGTGTACTGGGAGGACCCGCTGAGGGACTGCGTCTTGTATTCTGCCTGGACATATTGAACAACAGGGATAGCATGTTTTATATGTGTTGACATTCTGAAGAGCGTTCTGTGTCAAGATGGTATGAAAAAAAAATGCACCTCGGAAGATGACAGAAATGGATGTCCGGACCCACTGATGGTGAGGTAGTTATCACTGCCTCCAGGGAACTGCAACACATCACCAGAAAGGTAAATCCTCCCTCCTCTTCTGCCCCTCTCTCTGTCACATGCATTCAAACCTAAACACACTATCCCCTATCAAAATTCCACACAGTACCGCACATCTACACCATTTCACAAATACACAAGCAGGCCCATCTCTATCTGTCAGACTGGCAAATTATTACCATTAAAATAAAATAAACACAGAACATAATAGTATCATAACTAGCACGTGCGTAATTAAGCATTATTATCTGCTGACATTACTACTAGCTTAATTAGCACTCCGTCGATGCGTGACCCAACACAGGCGGAGCGGTCAGCCCGACCGATCTGGACTGGATCACCTTGTTTACCGAATCGTATCCGCCGTACGCCTGCGGGTCCAGGAAGTCCGAGTCCCCGAACTGGCCCGCGTTGTCCGACAGGTCCGAGTAAAAGGGCAGATCCATGTTTTGACACGGCTGGTTTCATTCAACTGCCGTCAGTGGCGTTCAACGTGGTTTTAGCCCCCAGTAATATTTCACGTAAAGGCCAACTGTCACTGAGTCACTAAGCACCATATGCGCAAAACTGCTGAGCTGCGCGTCGCCCTATTTAGCCGATGTTAAACTACGGTCAGCCACGTACAGAACTGCATGACGTTTACCGCTCGGGCATGCTAATATTTACTTATTTACCGATCACTGACCTATTATTTCCGAGCCGCAAGAATTGCATGTAATCACGTGAATAAAGGGGCTGATTGCCGATTACTCACATAAAGGACAGACACCGCTACGCTTAAGTAGTGCAGCCATACAGACACAGCTGGCGACTATATAGAATGACTGGTATTTAGCTGTAAGGCGCGGTAAAACGAAACCACTCTGTTATGAGCACATGAAACCTAAAATTTAAGCTTAGACCATTAGACCGTGAAATAACGCTGCGGTGACCCCGACTGAAAGTTCGCATATTCGATACTGATTTGGGGAAAAAAAAAGCCAAAATGACAATCCGTTGTCAGATTCTTAATCCAGTCTCCAGATCGATTTATTTAGTAACCATAAAACATACGTTTGCCGGCTCGTCGTGTTATATAATTGACTCAGTCTGTCAGACTCTTGGGCGATGTCTGCCATGGAGAAATAGCTATGGATTAAATAGGATCAAATATTACGAGGAAAATAAAGAAATCCCATTAGTTAAATGCGGTCTGGCGTTTAAATGCGTTGCATTGTAGAAAACGCGTCATATAGAAATATCCCGCATCGTTAGTGCTGTTTAAATGAGCTTCTTGGTGTTACTTTAAGTCTTTGCTGAGAATAGCTGCGGCACACACATGCATACTACCCCCATTCCTATGGTTTAGCCTGGGTGGCATCACACGGAGGACTTTAACTGTTTCTTACCCAGCAGACGTGTCACACGTGTTTCTGTCACCGCTTGTCATATTTTCGCCTGGCATTCCGACGATGTAATTGCAGGACAATATAAAATCCACGCACAGGCCATATATTAATACGTAGCCACCAAGATGCCATAGTGCAATTTGTACAGTAAAACATTAAGGACAATTTTATTGTCACTCTTCCTTTGCCAAAGACCATTCAGTGTAGACAGAGTATAGTTAAGCTTTTAAGTCAAAATAAGTTACAAAATATAATCACTGTAGATATGGCAAGGTGACTTACACTGTAGCCTACTGTTTAAACTTTAAACATACCGATTTAAAAGCTAAATAACAAAACCAGTGGATCTTTTTTTCCTGGATAACATAGATCTTATCTTTCGGGATATAACGAACAGACACCAAGGGCTGAGTTATCCAACGCTCCCAGATGTACCTTTAGAATAATAGAGCTAAGTAGGCGATCAACATTTTATAATGCATATCGTATATTTTACCTTATAAATATCCAAAACGACTGTGCTAACTTAGTAAACAAAGCAGTCAACTGATTTTGCAATTTACAGTAACGAACACTAACGAGCAAATAGTAAAAAGTACAGGGCGTAGATGGCTAGCTTTAGCCAGTTACGAGCTTGATGCACTACGTTTTGTCTGGAATTATTACGTGACTGTTAACATTTAAAATCTTATACAAATTATAAGTCTACATAACAGAAGCTCCCGATTTTTTGATTACCTCCATACTGTTTCTGCAATTTATTCGTTTCCTCGTTCTTTACACCGATCCTCACACGAACACAAAATCACAACATGGCACCAAATTCCGTATTTCATTGGATCACAGGAAATGACGTTTCACAGGCACTTCCGCGTCCCGAGCAGTCCGAGTTAATTTCCGATGACCTTTTGTAAGCAGTGCTCAGTATTAGAACTGTGTCAGTTCTACAATCGATAGGGGAATAGTCATCAAATCGCAATTATGTCTTTCATAATATTCATATTACCTAATAGTCTACAAGGATCTGTTTCTGAAAGGTCGTGGATTTGAATCCTGTAGCCAGCAGAGTAATCTTGTCACCGTCGGTCCATCGAGCGAAGCCCAAATACGTTAGGGGTGCTGGATACTGGCTAACCTGAAAACTTGCTTTTACATCTATGTCTGTGTCTGTTATGGATAACTAGATGCAAGTCATGAGAACCTTCCAACTTCCTTGCAGGGACACATGAAGCACTATTCTGTTATTTTCATGTTTATATCTATTCCTGGATGATGCAGTACCTACTTGAGAAAGACAGCTAGGAAATCTCATATGGCTTCTTGTATGGAGTTTCCAATGGAAGATATGAAGGCTGCAGGGGTAATCATATCTGTTGTGTTGACTCATTTTGATTTTATTAAGAGGACAGAGTCTTGTGAGCAAAATAATAGTAACCCAGTTTGTAAACCACAGAAAATCAAACCTTCAATCACGTTTCCAGACATCATCCTAAAGTATTAACACAGGCCACCAAATGCAATGACCCATATTTAGCCAAGACTTAATGTAGTGCATGCCACAAAACTAAACCCTGACATACTATATAAACGCAGGACAGACTGGTCAGATACTCTGGTTGGATCTTTCAGTGACTACTCCACAGCGCCGTTTTGCACTCTGAGTTAATTTCTGGGGAGGTTCTGCAAATGCTGAAAGCAAAAAAGGTAGGTAATTGACAAATGTAACACACAAAAAGGAAAGCCTTGTGCTTTTTTCAAAAACTGGTTTTATTGCCATTCTTTGAACTTTTTGATTCTAGTAATTAAAAAAAAGATAAAACCTGGAATTTTTAAATGTTTATATACATCAAAAGTGGAGGACAAAAGTACATTTCCTGCACATTAAATCATTGTGGAAAACAAACGCCTTCCGTTCACCCCAAAGCTTTGGGGGTTAACACTGTGATCACTATCGGGATCAGAGCTGGGAGACACTGGATAGTGTCTCTTTAGCCAAGGCAGGAAGCAAGTGGCACCTGAAACCTGGTCACTCAGCAGGTTAAACAGAGATATGGGCAGAGCCCAGGGCTCAAGCGCATGGTTTCAGACAGCGCAACATGAACATCCTTCAGCTGAAGATCAGACTGATCTTTTGCTCTGTTTCATGCAAGAGCCAGAATGGTGGAAGCAGCAGAGTTAGTCACAGCAGGGTTTATAGACATATTGCCCCCTGGTGGACAATTCAGGGAGTGAGATACAGTAGGAATAATGGACAAGAGCAGCAGTTACAGCAGAGTTTTTCACCAAATTGCCTCCAGCAAGAAGATATTTATATCACAATTAAAATATAACCTTTTTGTCAAGAGATTGTAGTTGAATATAGAGTGTGGGGGGTCAGCTACAATGACTGAACACACTCAGGAAACAAGGCAAATGCATGGACGGACACACCACATTCATTTGCTGATGCAAACACACCTCAGTGGAACATGCAACAGTAAAGTGGATTTATGCATAGACTCATGGTAGGGGTTCATGTTGCTTTGTTGCATGAATCCCCTTAATCCCCTGAATGCCCATTAGTCTTCTACTGTGTGCCACTCCATGTCAGCTCTAGCAGTATGCTACCATAAGCCATGATTAACTGTAGTTGCCTTTAAGACATTCTGCAAACCGTGGTCTATTCAGTGGTCCATTATAACAGACCCACTAATTTGTGAGGGGTCCTTGATGAAAGTAATCTGAATCAGACAGACAATACATTGACAAACATTTAAGTGGGTTCATTACGCAGTACTATGTTTCAATATCAAAAAATAAAGACCCTGTTTTGTAAAGAGGGGGACTCCCAGAAACCCAGCCAATACAATGACTTTTTGTCCAGTGTCTGAAAAAAGGGCCACATTCTTCCACCTCACCATCACCTTACGGGAGACCAGGTGTTGCTTTGCTATCCATTGTGGGGTCATCAGGAATAGATAGTGATGACCTCACTTCCTCCCCCTCTGACCAACAAGACACGCTCAAGACCTTCTGTCAGCACCTCCAGAAACTCCATGTCTGCAACAGAGTCAAGGGAAATCTACTGTATCGCTTAAAGCAGGGGTCACCAACATGGTGCCCGCGGGCACCAGGATGCCCCCAAGGACCACGAGTCACCCGCAGACCTCTCAACAGTAGGCAGCATCTAAAATGTCATTTTATCCTGTTATTATTCTTCTTTAATCACATTTAGATTTATATAGATTTGAAAATTACAATATCTAAAAAAAGCATTTAAAACATGTTTATTATACATGAAGTTTAGATAAGTTTAGGAGGGCGTTTCAAGCTGGTAGCCCTTCGTATGGCTCAGTGCCCGTGAAGTAGCTCTCAGTTTCAAAAAGGTTGGTGACCCCTGGCTTAAAGGTTGTGGTCTCAGGCCTGCCAGGCACTGTATGTGAATCTTCACCTTGAGGAACATATAGGGACCAAAGTGAACAGAGCGAAGGATACAGTTCTCATCACCATCTGTGTTTCTGGGGGGCCCTGGCATGTTAAGCAGAACCAATCGAGCATCATGGGACTTGTTGACGATGACTTCATTGAGCCTGACAGCAGTATGCATGCGCCGGACATTCGAGTGGTCCCTGTAACACACACACACACACACAAACACACACCACTCACTGCAGACACAATTACATGGTGTCCAATGCTGAGACTGAAGAGTAGAATCTAAATGAAAGTATGGCAATAAGATGCCGACAGTAAATGTGTTATCAATTTTATAATATTCAACACCAGCAGGATTCAGAAGTGGACTGTAATAAGCGGACTCACGGCCGGATGTTCAGCATGTCTCGGAACCCCTCTGGAGTGTTACAGCCAGACTGGGCTTGGACTTGCAGCGCCCGCTCCTTAGTCCAGGTCATGTGGACCCGCCGGTGCTCAGATGCTGACCCACCCCCAGGCCTCTCCAGTCCCCCATCTGTGTCGTCATCATCGTCGGAACCGATGCTGGTGAGGCGCAGCATGGAATTCCTGTCCTTAACCAGCTGGGCCTAATGGAGAGACTGGCACACTTATACCAACCCAACCTCCACTCCTCTCCTACTCTGCATGGTTCCAGGGTTGGGGTTAACTCCCACTTCCCTAAATTCTGGACAAAAAACTCCAAAAACCAAATGGAATGACTAACCAACACTGAAACAGTATCCATCCAAATGGAATGACTAACCAGCACTGAAGCAGTATCCATCCAAATGGAATGACTAACCAGCACTGAAGCAGTATCCATATGGGTATCGTATCCTTTCCATAAAAGCTACATGAATGCCTAGAGCCACAAGTACAAGGAGCACATTAACACCGCAAACACTGAAGGGCCCTATAGCTACACTACCTTCCATTTCCCTGCCCTGGGACTTGAATGGGAGGCAATCACACACACGCACGCGCACACACAGGAATTGTGCTGGTTTTGTATGTGTTTTGTATGTGTTTCCCCATACCTCCAAGCAGTAGGTACAGAATATACAGTGAATTCAGATACAAGATATCTTTAGTTTTATGTAATATAGCGATGGTTTAGACACTTTAGTTTTTACATTATTTATGTGTGGTTTCCAACATAATTTCTAACCGATTATCACCCCTAGGAATTCATTTTCACATATTCTTTCTATTTCAACATTGTCAATCATAATTTTAACTTGATTTATGATTTGTTGATTCCACAATAAAAACTGTTTTACTTAAATTCAATGGTAGATTATTTATATAAAACAATTTCTTTAAGATTTTCAATTCACTTTTTACTGTATTCAGCGGCAGTTTTTCCCGGAGCAATACATATTAGTGTCGTCAGCAAATAAAACAAATGTTAACAATTTAGACACTTTACAAATGTATAAATAACTTAGAGCCTAGCACTGAACTTGGTGGAACTCCACAAGTAACCTTCAATAAATCAAATTTGACATTATTTATCAGTACATATTGATATCCATCATCAACTTCATAGCCAAGAGTATGCTATTTGTCTAATTCCATCTGCACACACACTGGCCCTAGTCGATAAGACTGCTTACCCCTGACTTATGTCATCAAAGCTCAAATGCATCCTTTACAAATGAAATAACTGGGGAGTTATGAAAGTGAAACAGAGGAACAACATTCAGAATGTGACTGCAGTGGATGGCTCACCTCCCGCTCTCTGTCCGACTTGGAAAGCCTCATCTGTCTGAGCATCTGGGACCTTTGCTCCATCATGAGCGTTCGCTCATATGTGTAGGCACTGATGTCGCTGTCATGCTGACAGCCAGGAGACAGGAGACAGGACAGGAAGACACCATATGGAAATAGGTGAAATTAAAGAACCACATTCACAAGTGTAACAAAACATAAAAGTCGGAAGAGTAAAGTATGACTTTACCATCTCCACCACCTCCACCTCTGCCTCGATGCGGAGGTGGTACAGGAATGTTGCCAGGTCCTTCTTCATCTGGATGGAGTTGTCCTCCATCTGGGCAACTGTGAAGATTCGCATGCCACACTTCTTCCATACCTGAGTGAGGACAGGGAAGAAACACTACAGCTGCACAAATCCATTCACGAGTCATCATTCTTCTTTCTTTCATGGCCGCATGTTAACATATGTTCTCTAATTTCCCAAAGACAAAGTACAAGTAAGCATCTAAATTACTTGTCTTGCATTATTAACATGATTGAATGCTTCCCTGTAGCTTCAACTAGAAATGGCTGCCATGTTGCATAGGCCTGTGTTAGATTATGCATGATGTTCCATGATACTGGACATCGTGAGCATCTGGCAGGCACAGACCTTGTGCTGTCGCAACAGGAAGGGCAGTAGCATGAGCATGCCACCATCGTG